CTGTTAAAAACTAATTGAATTATTTGACATTTTATTGCTTCTCCAATACATACACTTTATCTTTTTTCATTTTGTTTTTTTGTTTGTTTGTTTGTTTGTTTTTAGAATTTTGCTCTTGTTGCCCTGCTCACTGCAACTTTTGCCTCCCAGATACAAATGATTCTCCTGCCTCAGCCTCCCAAGTAGCTGGGATTACAGTCACTTGCCATCACACCCAATTAATTTTTCTGTATTTTTAGTAGAGATGGGGTTTCACCAGGTTGGCCAGGCTGGTCACAAACTCCTGACCTCAGGTGATCCACCCACCTCGGCCTCCCAAAGTGCTGGGATTATAGGCGTGAGCTATTTTATTTTATTTTATTATGTACTCTTTAGCCAATACACAATTAAAGTAAGCATGCTATCATCAAATATGATAGTAAAAGCAAAAGAGTGTCATGGATTGGTAAACTTACAGAAAACTCCATCGTACTCAAGTTTAGTTTATTTAGGCTTCCAACAAGAGGAACAACATGGAATTTAGGTTACTCCTTTCTTTCTTAATTCCCTAAAGTATTTCCTCTCCTTTTAAAGCTTTCTTTAACTCTCCTCAGTTTCTCCCTGATCATTCTGATAGTTCATCCTTAAATAAGCAACAAAGGCTACCACAATGAAATTATGCCATTTATTCCTACTCTCTCTTTTTAAATTTTGTTAAAAATTGACAATATTTATGGGGTACAGTGTGATATTTCAATACATGTATACATTGTATAATGATCAAATCAGGATTGTTAGCATGGCCATCACCTCAAACCTTTATCATTCCTTTGTGGTGATCATTTTCAAGATCTTCTTTCCTGGCTAACTTGAAATGCACAATACATTGTCATTAGCTATAATCACTTTGCTATGTAACAGAACACCAGAAATTATTCTTTCTATCTGTAACTTTACCTGTGACCAACCTCTCCTCATCATCTGTCTCCTTTACTCACCTCTCATCAGCCTCTGTTAACCACTGTCTCTATACTTCAGTATGTAGAAAAGCATTCCTGAGTTTATTATAGCAGTATTCACAATAGCAAGAGATGGAATTAACCTAAGTGTCCACCAACGAATTAGTGAATAAATGAAATGTAATTATATATATATGTATATGTGTGTATATATATGTATATATATATATATATCTTTATCATCTATCTATCTATCT